CCCCAAAACCCCAAAACCCCAAAACCCCACGACACAAATAATAAAAATTGGCTTGTAATAGAATTTATTTTGTATTATAAATGAAAGGAATCAACTCCCCTTGTAATCCTCCCTAACAAGTGACAACAGCCAAAACGGTTTAATTTCCTAATCAATAACTCACTCAAAAATTATTCCTTGGGGCTAATAGCAATTTAGCAATGTACCTAGATCCAGAATAAAAAGCTATTGAGGAGGATAAGAGGCTAAATATAAAAATATAAATGAACAAAGAAAGACTTGATAAAATGAAAGATGAGCTTCAACTAACTATAGATGACTTAGATCTAAAATTAAATAGAGTAGTCAATAAACAGGAATATGATTATCTTCAAGGTTATTAACTCTTTGTTTAAAAAAAGACTAATGAATTACGAGCAATTATAGATAAACTAAATGAAAAGAATTCTAATACTTCAATAAAAGATGAAAGAATAGTTGAGTTAGAATTGATAATCAATAAACTCAGGAATGAGGCCTAAAGATGTGATGAATAAATGGGTGACAAAATAGAGGAAATGAAAACACTCAAGACTAAGGTTGATCTTATTTAAGAGGATAGAAGATTCTTATATGTAAGTGCAAGAGATGAAAAGCAAAAGGGAATGACAATGCAAAAGAGACTAGATCAGTTGGAAAAGGATCTCTAAGAAACCTAATAAAAATTGGAGGAATCTGAAAAGCAGTGCAATGAATTAAGATTAATGAATTTGAGACAAGAAACCTATGAAAATGAATAGCTGACTGGAGATATTACCATGAGAAGAAATAAAAGTTTGACAATTGATCGATCACAAAAAAATATCTCGATTGTGCAAGGTGGCAATAACTATTTTTGCCCATTGACTTAGAACAAAAAATTTGAGGAGTTTTTAAAAGATCTAAATGATATAAAAATAGATCAAGATCGGGTTAAATAGGAGATCATTAACTATGTAAAAGTTATTGAATCATTTTATACTTAAAAACTGTAAAATTTGAGGCAGAAATTCGATAAAAAAATAAGAGCTAGCAAGATTAGTTAATCAAACAAGGTCTCTATGCATATTGAAAGGAATGAACTTGAGAAGATATTTTCAAATTCAATTGACGAGGTAAAGAAGTAAATCTTGAAGCGAAAAGTTAAAAGTGAGACTATCCTTAATAATAAATCAAAACCAATGAGTTTAGATAAGACTTTGAATGATTCTGAGGATGAGGATGCTAAGAGATTTGAGGAAGCTATAACAAAGTTATTAAGCTTTGCAAAAAATAAGATCAAATATGAGGACTTTACTTCTGTCGATAAGAAAAATTTAATCACATTATTTGTAACAAACGAAAGAACTTTGCTTTATGTGTATAGAAGTTTGTTTCAACTTGAGGAAAAAATAAAATAAAATCCTCTAAATGAGAAATAGATTTAAGACTTGAAACTTTCACCTAGAAGTAATGGAGATGAATATAACAGTAAAAATGGTGATTACAAATACTTTATAACTGAAACATAAATAGATGAGGATAAATAATTAAAGAAAATTCAATAAGAGTACTCATCTATAAATGAAGATGAATAATACCTTCGTAGGAATTTCAGAAGTTTGGACTAGTCAGTTGAGGTAGAATAAAATTAAACTATCAGAGACTAGAGAGAATCCTAACAGACAACTCTTTCAAATATTCAAGTTGGAGTACATCTACCTAGAATAAATATTAAGAAAGTGAAGGATAGCAGTCAAAATAATCTAGAGGACTATGTTACTATTGCTCAAAGATCCAAATCTACTATCAAAACAAATCATGATTCTAAATTAAATGGGATAAGTAGTCATACCACAATGAACCCTAGTTCAAGAATACAACCTAATTATTCTAATCTGGAAAATACCTTGAAATATAAGATTGGATCAATTCAGCAATTAAGAAATGACGGCAAAAATAATAAATTGGAGTTAAGCAGAAATTCAATGATGGATAAAAACCTTACAAGCAGAAAGAAGTCCTCTATGATAAAATAGTAGCTATTCAATCCTAACAATAATATAAGTACTTATGATTCTGCAAATCTAAGTCTGTTCAATTTGAGTAATATTGAAGGAAGAAATTCAAGCTATATGATTGGAAATATGAGTAATTTAATTGAGGGTTTTGGGTCTAGAAAGAAATAAAGTAAATAAGCCAAGTAAGGAAACACCAATAGGGCAATGAATCTTCAAAGCATCTTATGAAATTTATTAAACTATCTATATTGTTTATTTTGAGTATCTCAAATGTTTCATTTAAATTAGCCGATGGGGTTTTGGGGTTTTGGGGTTTTGGGGTTTTGGGG